AGATGCAGTCGATCATCGAGGAACTCCGCGAAGCCGGTCTTATTATAAATTAAATCGTATCGATGAACCGAGTCAGTCGAGTGACAACGGTGAGAAAAAATACATTATTTTCTTGTGTATTACACGTCGAATCATGAAAAAGAGATCCAATGAAAAGAGAAAAGTTAGCTCTGAGAGACGTCGACTCGTCGAGGAATTGCACGCTCCTGCGAGAAGAAATTTTCCGCGAAGGCGCATCATTGTCCGGGGGTATGATGATCTGTGGCAGGCTGACATCGTCTAGATGCATCCATACTCGCGTTTCAACAGAGGCCATCACTACATACTCACCGTCATCGATGTGTTGAGCAAGTATGCGTGGGCCATACCGCTCAAGAGTAAAGGTGGAAGCGAGACGGCTATCGATGAGATAATTCGAAAGAGCAAGAGATGTCCAAAAAACCTACAAATCGATATGGGAAAAAAATTTTACAACGTTGATGTGCAACGGCTCTTGAAAAAACACAACATCAATCATTATTCCACGTACTCCGTAATGAAAGCAACAGTCGTCGAACGATTCAATCGCACATTAAAAACGACATGTGGAAGATGTTTACACTTAACGGAAAATATAAGTGGATCAATGCGCTGTCGCAGCTTGTATCAGATTATAACACGCGCAAGCATCGCACCATCGGCATGCGACCCATCGACGTTACCCCCACGATCGCTGAAAAACTCTTGGCCACGGTATATAGCAACGTAAAGATCGCGAGTCCGGCAAAATTCAAAGTAGGCGATTCGGTACGTGTGAGCAAATATAAAACCGTCTTCGAGAAAGGTTACACGCCAAATTGAACCACCGAGGTGTTTAAAATCGCTAAAGTGCAGCATACTCATCCTGTAACCTATCTACTGGATGACTATCGCGAAAAATCTATCTCTGGAGCGTTCTATGAACATGAGTTACATCGCGCGGCTTATCCGGACGTGTATCTCGTGGAGAAAGTATTGCGCAGGAGAGGTGACGAGGTTTACGTAAAATGGTTGGGATTCGATGCATCGCACAATTCTTGGATACACAAGGATAACATAATTTAATTCATATAATCTGTATTTTTCATTAAAAATGTATTTATTTTTAAACATAAAAATATATAAAAATATATGAAATACATAAGATGTATGAAACGTTTATTATTTATACCCATTTTTTCGATTTAATATATAAAAAATCTTTATTTTTTACTATAAATGTAGTGCTATACACAGTAATTATTTATACATTTCTATAATAAAATTACAGAACCTTTTTTTTCGTCAAAG